AAAACAAGGCGCAAAGAGAGTATTACATGTCCACTTTAGTTTCACTCAAAGTGGCTTTCTTTCTTTCTTTCTTTCATGTATTAAAAATAAAGGATGGAGAACAAAATTAAGGTAAGATAACTTATAGTCCGGTTTCCAAGTTTTATAAAGTGTGTTGCTAATTAATATGACGATAAATAGTCCTATTCTTAGGCTACTTTAAGATACTCAAAATTAAGCAAACAGTAGTAATGGAACTTGCTAGGAAGTCAAACAATGCCTTTGAATTACAGATTAATTAGGATGGACAACAATGACATGCCGTTAAGAAGTGGACAAGGAGAAAAACATATCATTTGTTAACTTAAACTTTCATGTTGATCGGTGTAGGGGCATTGAGGTAGCTCACACTCTTATTGTGAACAAATTAAATCTCTCTCGGCAGGACACATAAATTAAAGCCTTTTTGGCCAACGATAATTTTCCTAGTCAAATGACTGTACTACAGCCTAGTTTACTCTTTACCACTGCTAGGTAATTAACCAACACAACCTCAAAATATTGAAATACTGATCAGCAACAGGCAAACGGTCACTTACATTGTATGAAGCACTTTAAAACAAATTTAATGCTGTTTCGTAGTTGTTCTGCAATGTTTTGATTACAGTAGAGCGGTCCTCTAATTAAATGACAAATGTACAGTAACTGGCTTCCTCCCGGTCCGACAGTCATTCTGAAGCCCCCTTCTCGATCTATCGATCAGAGAAGGTAAGACTGGATGGAAGCAGTCAAGACTGCATGAGCTAAAGGCTCATTCGATTGACCATATTCTGCAATGGGTCGTCAAAGGAGAATGATATTATTAAATAAACCTTAAAAAAATCTGCTTAAGGTCTGTGATACTGCTAACCACTTTTTACAAACTATATGTAACATTCTTAATATGAATATAAAGAGTTTAGTTTTATCGTGTCAGTGGTGTCTCACGAATGTCACTTTGATATTGATCGCTACGTTTATTATGCATCATATATATACAACCCCTTCTAGTGGACAAGGCTGGTTGGATCGAGTTTCCAGTACTGTTTTTATTGCATTAGGTATTGGAGGTCGCTCGTGAGCTTTGGAGATAGGAATGCTTCTCTGGGGAAATTTAGATTTGAAGGAAATTGATATCGCGAGATGCTCTAATGATTGAAAATTGTTCAGTGATGTTGAGGCAATTCAGTTCGTGATACATTTCTACAGATACCGCTTGTGAGAAGTATTTCGGTAATTTCCTTAATTTCTACAGACGCTCCCTTATATAAGCCATATAGGTATGTGCCGTCCCAAAGGGTAGGGTTTTTTCCTATTTGTCTGGAATCGGGTATAGTTTTCGAGGGAGCTACGGTGGTGTATGAACATATTTGTCAATTGGTTCTAAATGATTAAGATATAAACCCATAATGTGCGAATTCGAAATGGATTTTAAGAAATATTTTTTTGTTGGCCCTCTCAGTCTCAGTAATGGTGATCTAATTTCTGTTTTCGTAAACATGTATGTTGCGTTTTGTGACCGCCTCCAGGTTTGAAAACTGGTATGGACTTTAGAGGTCAGGTCTGAAAACGGGTGTGGAAAATGACATCTTTTGGTGTGAAATAGGGTAGGGATTTGGAGAACCGGGCCGCACATCCCCCCCATCCAAGATTCTTAGGAGTACAACCCCACCCCACGGTGTTACTGACAAGTTTTTTTTTTCGGTTAGCTGTTTGTGTATTTGACATTCTTGTAGTTCCTGGGTTACCTTAATATCCTAATCTTCATTATAGTTTTTACCAAACGTTTTTACTAAGAATATTCTTCGCTGTTTTTGTCACGTTCGTTTGGCGATGTGTAGCGACCATGTTTTGGAGATTTTAGCATTTCAAAAAGATTCGAATTAAAAGGCTAGCAGAATCAATGATGAACGTCTCTGTATCTAACAAACACAATACCACATGGAAAATGCTTTGTACGGTATTTCCGGGAACGCTGTTTTTGTATCAGAGATCTCACTCTTTCGATTTCTGGAAGTATGTCAACAACTCGTACGAAAATACCGTACGCCCGCACTTTCCATGAAGTATTCTATATGACTGTATAACCTACGTAGCAGGCGCGTGGAAGTAGTATGAGGTGCGAGATGGGGGCATAGGCGAGGGGAGAGGGAGCTAACCTCCCCACAGCGATGGTTCATTTCTGTGCCATAATTTCTGCTCCTTTCCACCTCCGGGCTCACTTCTGAGTCCCACACCTTTGGCTCTTTTGGGAGTAAGGGTTTCAAAGGATACTTTACCTGGGCCCAAAAGGCTCACAAAGCAGGGGCACCCAAAGACTGATTTCTGTAAAGTATTTTTTTCGAAGAAGCAAATGTTGACAAGAATTTTATTACTTGATCTCCCAATATGACGACAGCTAAAAAATTCAAGATGACCGTTCCATTCATTTAAAATTTTCGAAGCTTATCTAATAAATTCCCTACGATTTTCTGAAGTTTAATTGTTCACATTTCACTGCCCTGGTTAGGCTGTTTTTCATACGAAAAAGAAAAGTGACCTGAAATTTTCGGATTAAAAAAATGTGATGCAGAGAGGAATCACAAAAATTCTCACTTGCGTAAGTTAAATTATTGCATCTAAAATTTTCAGGAAAATAATACTGATACCCGCGGGCAATTGCGAAGACTCCCAAGTTCCCCCAGGATTACTGAATACGTACAAATTTTATAGTGCCACTTAGAATTTAATTCTAGAATTAATCTTAAAGTACCCTGGATAGCCTAAAAAGTGCTTTCAACGTGATTGTATTTAAGAGGGTCGTTGGATGCCTCTGATAACAAAACCCAATCACATTTATAATCGGACTAACAAAGATACCCATCGTACATCGTACATGGCTGCGTAAACAGGCTCCCAAAGAAGCCCACTCATAAAAATCGATACCCATGCCAGTCACTGTATAAACAGGCTAATAGCGATGCCCGGTCACTCTTTAATCGAGATCGCGAAGTCCCCACCGCTAACCTCCATGTGGCTCACAAGGATTCGTTGCCGTCTTTTGGATAATTAGCACATAAATTAAAAAGGCGTTAACTCCCCTCATGCTGAACTCACTATCGATATATTATTTTGGACAAATAAAACCAGGTCACCCGGCGCATAAGCTCCCCTCGGCAAAGATAATCCCAAACGATTCTTGAACAAAGTGGCAATTGCCACTTTGTTCAAGAATCGTTTGGGATTATCTTTGCCGAGTGGGCTTACGCGCCGGATAACCTGGTTTTATTTGTCCAAAATAGTATATGACGCCAATAAAAAATAAAGCGAATGAATACTCTCCTCAAACAGAAAACTGAAGCTTTCACAAATAGCACCAAAAATGTACGAAAGAAAAAAATCGTCACTTCTCCTTGGCGTAGAAGTGGAGTTCGAAGGCCTAACACGTAGCTTACAGCATTTTGTGTTAATTCCGGCCAAGACAGCCGCACCTGACTGAGCTCCATTGCCAAAATCTTGTACTGACTGCGGTTTCAAAGGAAGCAAGGCCTGCTGCAACGCATCCGACAAAACGACAGCAGGCCGTGACAGAGCAGAACCTTATTTACCCGCGTAGAATGAAACTCTTTGCGAAAAGACAACTGTGCATAATTACATATTATACAGGCTTAAACAATGCCTAATACGTCTCGCACGGGATAATGAACACAAGCACATTTTTACGCATGCACAGTAATTTAAATATATCTCTTATCCGCGCGTCACAATACAGCATCATTTTGGGCGGTACATAATTCCATCAGCAATATAGTTAGACTACGAGTAGTCCCCATTTTTGCTCAGGAATAGTAGAGCGAGCAAAACGCGAACGCGGGTAAAAATCATCTCACGCCAGCAGAAAGCTAGGCGAGACACGGCGGTGAGTGCGTCTCGTCTTTCTTGCGTGGTTTGATTTCACTCTCGCTCGAGTTTCGCTCGCTCTACTATCCCTGGGGAAAATGGGGACTATTCGTAGTCTACAATAAACATGCATTGGAATCCAGAAAAACCGAGGTACCTGGGGTCTGCCTGGAGAAATGTGTTCGTAAGTAACAGGGGTTTGTTATCCTAAACAAATCAATGTAAGCACGGCGAAGGTTGCACTCGGCCTCGTTATACCGCCGCGGTGTTCCTTTTATAATGGGGTTGTCATCATCTTTTTTACAACGAGGAATAAGTAAACAGCTACTGGAAAAAAAAAAATAGACGCGTTTTATCAATAAGTGTACTTTTTTGACCGCGCTCTTTGAGACAACTCGTGATAGTACTACTAGTTGCTTGACCACTCTGATTCAAAAGATCTCAAAGTGTTACAGAGAACCACAAAATAATAAACTTTGACGACAATTGGTGGCTCTGGTTACGAAATATGGTGTCAAAAGTGACGATTACTCAAGAAGAGGGGTCGACGATGCATGAACACTCGTGTGATTGGGCTGAACGTGACTAATGGATAGAGTTGAGGATAAGATGACAGGGTTGCTGAACGGTTGCTGGAGGAATAAAGGATTTCCGTCTTTCGTACACAAAACTTTTTCAAGGGATATGGTCATAGTAATGTTTGCAAGGTGATATCAAATTAAAACAGCATTTAAATGAGATTTAAATTAAACTCGCACCTTTCTTTTACTGTTCTTAAGTCGTCGATTTTTTAAAAGTAACAAGTAATTCTTCTTTGCACGAAATTACGTTCTGCTAAAAGTTATAGCATTTCGACAGTGTTAATCTGAAGCAATTTTAATTTTAAATTAAAATTAAGATCCAATTGTTCCACCATAGCGATTATTTTTACGGTATATTTATTGACTTCCTTAGTTCAACCTTATTATGCTGTGTCATTAGCTCATTATTCATACTTTCGTAAGACTGTAGGATGCCTAAGTCTTAATAAACCAGCTCCACCCCTTCACAATTCTCTCTCCTCCCCTATTAACTTTTTTGTGACGTGCTCAGGTTTACTGGGA